GTGACTTTTTACAGATGTTTTACAGAATGAATAAAACAAGAACATTTATCTTGAAAGTAAAACCATAATCTGAAAGGTGAGCAGTTGCTGTAACTGTCAGATAAGTAATAAGTATAATATTACCCTCTGATAGTGGATAAAGATAGATTATTGTACACTTAGTTCGGTGTGATGGTCTGGAGTTACTATATGTTCCCTCTTGTCAACACATCCCATTATAAAAAGTCCAAATCCAACATGTGATATATCTTCTTCTCTGTGCCACCTCATCAGTGTTCCTTCATTAATATGAACTCACACACTGTAGTTCATTTACAAACCGTCCTACAGATACTCTCTACAGCACCAAATGTGGATTCATCCGCCGCTGGAAATTGTTCCCAACTCATTTCCTCCCGTTTGCTACCACGAGCAGCCGATTCAGGTTATATTTATGTTTCAGTTAAACATTAAACTATGTTTGTGAGACTTTTCAGTAGGAACCAATGAGCTTGGAGCTGAGAGCCACAGACAAGTAGGGGAACTATTGAGAGACAGACTTACACATTGTTGGTTTTGGTCCTTTTAATTAGATTTGTTGACAATAAGAAAAATATAATAATAATTATAATATAATAACATATAATTTTATAATTAAAATGGCAGCCCGTGCAGTTCCAAGATTCGCCACTAGAGGTTGAAAGAGATTTATTTTTCTTAACTTATTTTTAATTTGTCCAAATACATTAAAATCAACAACAACAAATCACAAAATATGAAAAATAAAAAATGTAAGAATTTGAATTGTTAACAAAACTACAGTAAATATTTGAAAATATAATTTATATAAATAAAAATTTGCTAAGAATTGAAATTTCAGTGTGGCTTTCTGACCTCCAGATGGCGCCGTTTCACCCCACACCTCATATAAAACAGCCAATATTTTAAATGTCACCTCTTCCAGCAGACTCCTGTTGTCCTCCAGCCTCCTCTGCTGCTCGTACAGAGCCAGAGACGCCGGGTCAGACAGACGCCTCACTTCCTGTCTCTCTGCCTCGTCCACGCTCGGTCTACCTGCTCCACCTGTCTGCTGCTGCTGGACGATCGGAGGCAGGAAACAGGTACTGACGGACAGAGAGAGAGAGAGTGAGGAGTTCATATTTCACTTCATCATGTTGTTATCTTGTCAAGCAGCATCTCAGTGCTGAGTGGCAGAACTAATGAACACACACACACACACACACACAAGCACACACACAAGCACACACACACACTCTTCCATGTAAACCAGTTTCCATTCAGATTTGTTTACAGTCGGATCTGATCACAGTAACGAATCCCTCTGCCAAGGTCGTGCTTCAGTGGAGAGTATCTCACACACACACATGCACACACACACACCTATATCAAATGGCAGACAGCAGCAATGTTTCCATCCAAGCTTTTATCTGGATAAATCCTTTATTTCTTTTTTATGCCTAACAATTCAAACAATCCATCATTAGTAGAAAAGCATCTCTTATATGACTTTATATATTTTATGGAGACTTATTAATTTTAAGTGAGAAATAATCAACGCAGTAACAGAATCTGGATCCATATCTGATCAGCACTGCCTAGTTTGACAGTTTGATCTGAGTTTGGTGCGTTGAGCTGGACGGACTCACTTAGAATGAGCTGTCAATCACAAGGTAGCCCCGCCCCTAAAGCATACCTTGCTTTATGGTCTGTTTGACTCTAAATGGGACCATCATTTACTAAATGAACATCATGCTGTATGGAAGAAGACTGAAACTAGAGACTGAGACCAGAAACTCATCAGGAAACTGTTTTCTGAGCTCATAAATCAACTGTAGATCGATCTCCATAAGACTCAATACTATTGGACTCCACAACACAAAATAACACAGACTTTATTAATGCCACTGCCTGTGCGAGGAGTCTCTCAGCCGTCCTGTTACCTGTGCTCTCTGCTGTCCGACTCCTCCCGAATCTGAGAGAGAAGCCGACCTCCCAACCTGCCCTGCAACACACACACACACACACACACACACAGGATAGAGTATCAGTTAATTACATGTCCTCTGAGGACTGACTGAAGTCTGGAAGAGGAGGACAGACAGTTTCCCTCCCGGCGATAGTTTCCGTGGTGACAGGAGACATCTGTCCGTCAGTCTCCGGGGCTGACAGACGACACCGCTGCACACACACACACACACACACACACTAACAGACAGCTGAGTAGAGATTAGTTACCTGTATCGGTTTAGGAACGTTACACATGTTTTTTTGTTCAGTTTGGATTAACAGTTTCTCCCTCAGAGATCCATAAAGCTCCAATCACATTAAAATGTTTCTGTGTTAGCGCCCCCTAGAGGCTGTAGTGTTAAATATGGCACGTGACATGAAAGTTAAGGACAGAACAATCAGCGTACTGATGATTTATATATTCTTAGAACCTAAAATGTAAAGTTTGCAACCAATGATTATCTTCATTATGGATTCATCGGCTGATTATTTTCTCCGTTAATCCATTGATCAGTGATTATCAAAATAATATATATATAAACGCTTGTGTACAGTAGTTTGAGAAACAGCTAATTAATGGTTTCAGCAGTAAACAGTTGGGTATTTAATTTATAATACAAAAATCATATTTTATTTAACTAAAGTTGTCAGATATGATATATATAATATAGATAAATGTAGTGAAGTAAGAAGAACAATATTTCCCTCTGAGATGTAGCGGAGTAAAAGTATAAAGTGGCACAAACACAAAATACTCAAGAACAAGTACATAGTAATGTTTACGGGGTTTTTCCTGTTTATTATTATTATTATTTAATAACAAAATATCCTGTGAATTCACACGATAAATAATCATAAAATTGCTGCTTATTTACATAAAAATACATTTGCAAATCTATTATTTTTATTTAATAGATTAAACTGTTAAATTCAAGTAGTTTTCGCAACAACAACGTTGAATAAATGTTTTTTATCAGTGTATATGCATTGGTAAAAAAATTTATCAGTGAAAACAGCAATAATTAATGTAATTTCACAGATAAGATTCAGATTAAAATAAGAGAGAGCCATGTTCACCTGTATTTATAGGTATTTCCACTGTTTTTAACATTAAAAAGACCAAAAATGACAACGATAAAAATATTTTATGTCAAATTAAGGCTAAAAACTATATTTTAAAATTAGAAAATCACTATACTTACGTATTTTACTGTATTTATTGGCGCCCTAGCTGCCGGACTATTACTGTTTTTGACTTAAGTACAATAAATGTGTTTTAATTTCCTTATATTCAATGAAGTCTGAAACATCCAACAGAGAATTATGACCTCAAATCTCCATCATGTTAGTTGTTTGACCAGAACTTCAACAACTGCTTCAATTCTCAAACTTTTCGGCACCTAAACTGGACAAATATAAGCGTCAATAATCGATTTAAAGGGCCACTGCAGGGGATTTAATGTTTTAGTTCAATACCTACAAATGCTTGAATGTAATATGTTTCCATTCTTGCTGAATATTTCCCAGAATGGCAAAAATGAATGTAAAATATACATAGTAAAATTTATAATAAAACATAACACAGGCCCTTTAAAAATGATAAAATAATGTTAATTTAAGGCCATTTTCTATGAATTCAGGGTGTAGTGGTGCAGTTTATTCATATATATATTTAATGGTATATTCAGTTTTTTTGATGAAATGAAGTTTCTTCATTTATGACATTTTTAAGAAACTAAAAGTTAAAAATGGCCACCATCCTTCCAACAGAGAATTATCTGAGAAAATTAATTTAATGAGAGAAAATAGGAAGTGTTGTTGAATGTAATGGACCTTTAGAGATAAACCTTTCAGTATCAAACAGGTTAATGACCATTAAAACAGATACTCACAGTATGGACGTCCATTGCCGGGTGTTTTCTGCTCTCCTGAAACGTTACCGTCCTCCCGGCAGCTGAGACGTTTGTCTCAGACACCTAATTAGTTCGGTGTTTCTGTTTCACCTCCTCCACCTGAATTAGTCATCAGTGTGTGTGTCTGTGT